GAGCTCGAGCTATTGCAATTTTTTATCGAGTCGAGCTCGAGCCTCAAAAATCGAGCTCGAGCAAAAAAAAAAAAATCAATCTTGCTCGATAATAATGCCCGACTCGGCTTAACTAGTTTGCAGCCCTACTCGGGTTGAAGAACGGGCCCACAAAAGAGTATAAGACAGCTTGCGTCCAGTGAGCTGAGCTGGATTCGCAGACCGGCCATCAGACACAAAAGTATCGAGCCGAAAGAGGCAACAAGGCCAAATTCAACAAGGACTTTAACTCGAGCTGGACTGACAGGCCGAGCAGAAGGCTATAAAATAAAGGTCATTTGTAGCTTAATGATGAAAAAGCACATCTTTGCCGACTAATCTTTCTGCCTACGAGTCTTAGACTTATGGGCTAGCATGACACATTAAATGTGTCTGTCCATTCAATCAAATGCAAGCCATAAAACATAACGAACAGTGTCCGAGCTACAGTTACTACAAATATCATTGCATTTGATTGGTCGGAAAAAGTGTGTATTTTATATATTTATTAACATATTTTTTGTATGCTTAATTTTGTCTTACTTATATATTTTTAGACTTATTTATTAGATGAATTCAAGTGTTATGATATATTTATGGTTTATTTTCAGACTATTTGAATACTTTCATAGATGGCGAGACATTAAAAAAAAGTTCCGGCTGACAGAATATGAGGTACCTTATACCATACCAATTTTTTGGCCCGTTCACACTATGTACGAAATTGGGCCCAAAACTTGTGATACTAAAAAGACTTATTGGGCTAGAGACTGGAAGAAGATAATTAATAAGTTGTTCCCACTCATCATAATTGGAAAGACTCCACACAGGACTTGGGAATAGGTTTAAAAAGAATTAGACTCTTGGGCGGGCACCCATTATTTATTTTTGGGGAGATAGAGACATTATGCACTCACCAAAAACATCATATCTGGGAGCTATGGAGCCGCCGCCACACACAGACGCGAGGAATCCAACAGCAGAAAGAAACCACATCCGCACACGAAAGGTATAATTTTATTCTATTTCTTTTATTATTATGTTAGCGTATATTTTATTTCTAATTCTCGGGATTCGAAACCTACAATTTAAAAAGTTTAATTAATTTTCGTGGTTGATAATTTTATTATTTTTTTAGAATTGTGCGTGTTATTTTGAATGATAAATTTAGATGTGTAGTCTTATTTAGATGGATCAATTACATTAGGTTTTTCATCTCTATAACTAGAGTTAAACCTTCAATCCGTAATTGTTGTTGTGTTTAATTCATAAGTAGCAACCGAAAACTAGTAACTGTTGGGGATAACACGTCCTAATTAAGTGAACCGCGCGGTTGTGTTTACTACTTAGACTAGCCTATTTTTTTAGATCCTAAAGCAGCAATTGCATTAAATCTAGAGAGCATGTTCTACACTGTCCAATAAGCTAGGTTTAATCAAAGAGCGTCTCTAGGTTAAATTAATAGTAAGAAAAAATTCGGGTAGCAGAACATAGAGCTAGTAATTTCATAAGATAACAAAGTTTGATACCATAATTAATTAGATGAGTTGTGGAGGGTGTAGACGGAACCGTGAACTAGAAAGTGCTCTTACTTTATTTTATTTTATATTTATTTCATTTGCTTAGATTTTATTTTATATTTATTTCATTTGTCGAAGAAAAATATAAATTTTAATTTTCCGCATCGCGATGCGCGGTCAAATTTGGATTAGATCTGAAAAAGGAAATGAAAAAATATACAACTCATGAAATAAAGATTTGTGTAATAAATACTAAGTCAGACATTCGACCGAGCAATAACAGCATTGGCCAACCTTGGCCACTATTATTCCGTCACATTCGTGCGTTGTTCTGCACTTCTGAAGACTTCAGCGCGAAGCATATTCAAGAAGCTAGAGAAATCCAAAGATACGACAATAGCAGCGATCATCACAAAGACTCCGACACCAAATGCATTCAAGAAGCCAGAGAAAAGAGACACACATACACCGCCGGGAACCCAAGAGGAACGTTGGCCCAGTGGGAAGCGGTAGCCCAGTTACCAGACAACACGATGAAAACGCGATGGCTGGAGATTGACTAAGCCCGAATAAGGGAAGCTGGACAGAGTAGGTCGGCTGCATGCCTTCTGGCTAGGACGGCCACTCCTTCGACCTTTTCTCACCTTGATGGCGGAAAAATCGCAACGACGGGGCCCAAAAGTGTGACCTCAGGGATGTTGCGCGGCGAAGGAAGAAAAATCGCAGAACTCAAAGTCCTAACAGAAGTGGGTTGATACATTCTCGTTACCATTAAAACTCCTACTTTACCCCTTGCCGAAGAAAGTAAAGATACCCCAATCCGAGCGATGTGATGGTAGAACAGATCTAGACGCCAACCTCGGCCATCACAACTCTCGGATCAATCTGTTCAAAGAAGGATTCATCCAAAAGCATCCCCTTTGACTCTAAGATCCAAGTTCAGAGATGGTACCATTCATTACGCCACAACCCCATTTGAAATTGACAGCTGTTGAAGGGCCCGAAGAGAACTCGAAAAATAACATCGCTCGTTTCGATGAAAGAATTCGAGATATGGAGTTTTGTTAATAAGCGGCAAGTAGCAGACAAGGAGCGCACGTCCACCTTGGATACCTGATCTTACTACAGGTATTCCAAAAGGGAGATTAGCAAGAAGGGGCATTGTTACATGGGTGGCAGACTTATTGAATGATGGGGGCAGAACTTGGAATATGGAGAGGCTGGAGGAGTTTTTTGAACCAGCAGAAATAACAGCAATCTTGAAGATTAACTCCTTGAACCCTGAGAAGAAAGACAGATGGTGCAGGAATGGGAAGGCAACAGAAAAGTTCTCAGTTGCTAAGGTCTATGCACAGCTGATGATTCAAAAGACTCTAAGAATTGATAGAGCTGAGAGCAGTCACTCTGCCCAAACAAATAAAACAGCCAGGGAAATGTGTTGGAAATTGAAAACAGATCGGGCAAAATTAAACATCTTATATGGAAATGTTTTTCTAACTCCTTGCCTAGAAGTGTTAATGTGATGAGAAGTAGAATTGATGTTGATCAAATATGTCCTTGTTGTGGAGAGGCTCCTGAAACAGTGGAGCATATCTTCTTCCAGTGTTCCAGAGCCAGAATGATGTGGAAGCTAGCTCCTCTTGACTGGGGAATTCCTTGACAAAAGCTTAAAGTTTCAAGAACTGGTGGTGGTGGATTGCCTCCATTGACAAGAAGGGAGTGACTGAAGCAAGAATCCAATTATCCACTTATCTTCTTTGGTAGATGTGGAAGACTAGGAACTTATGGCTCTTTCAGAATGTGTGGAGGAGTGAAGCTGAGGTAGTAAGATTGGCTATGGCAGATTTGGCTGAATTCAATAGCAGTACAGACACATAGGTCAGGTACCATTGGTTAGCATGAGTGAGGCTTAGGTCCTGGTGTCAGTTTGCTTTTCTCTGCTGAGCTTTGGTTCTTGTATTTGTCTAGATTAGAAGGTAAAGGCTCAAATGATAGAATATACCTTTATCTCTTCTTTGATGTTTTTGTTATAGTTGTACTCTAGGTCACAGGGTGTTGTGGTCGATGGACCACAACATTGTATCTTGACTCTCTATTTTATGTTATGACTATCGCCTATTGTTC